GCATCTCGGAGTGTTATTTTTTTAAAAAAAAATAAAATAAAACTTCTGGTGGATGTCCTGTGTCCATCTTACAAATTTCTAAAATCTGCTACAACCAAACTTGTTAGGATCTTGGGGGACTTATTTGCTGAGACTAAAACCTCAGTGTTTGGACTTGGTTTCAAGTACCACGTTTTTTAAACCCACATTTTTGTTCCACATTATGAGACTGTCTAGAAGGGCCATCAGATGCTCTTAAATGGTCCGAGGCATTGCCTTTTTTTATAATATCATTATAAACTAACCTAGAGTAAGATGCCACATTTTAATTCTTGTCACAGGCTATATACTTGTTTCATTATTAGATTATCATCTTAGAAAGTGACTAATATGTTTAATTTCCTTTTCATACACACTTTTTAAAAAGCTGAATTTCTCTACTGGGCATAGTTTGTGGATCATTCTTTGTCTTTCTTATTCCACTGCCCCTATTCTGCTGGTTGTAGTATCAACATGTGCCTTCTTCTATTTCTTTTGTTTCTCTTCCTTTTTTGAAAATAGTTGTCTTTCATTCCTATAAATGTTTATTTTACATGTTTTAATATCTTCCTTTATTGTAGATTGTGACTCATAATGTTCAGTCTCTATTTCTCCTCCATAACTCCCACTGGACTTCCATTCTACCTTAATTCTTCCATTGATATTTTTCTACCAACTTTCTTCTCTCTGGGTTGCTGTGTTTTAATGTGTATTTTACTGTGTATTTTATAGAAATATATTTTAATATGTATCTTTTAAAGAAATACATTTAATATGTGTATTTGTGTATTTTTACAATATTTATGAGTTTTAATTATGGTGTTATCTGTCTTCAGTCACAAGGAGAGGCAGATAAGAATAATAATAATTATTATTATTATTATTATTAATGTTATTACCATCAAATCAAGTGCAGAGGTAAGCACAGGGACTTTGCAAATCTGTTAAAGATGTCATAATGCCAAGGTGGGAAAGAAAGGTACAGGTCCATGGCTGTTGATGGGAGAGAAGTCAGTAGCATCTACATTTTGGGGTTGGGATTGCAATATTGGCAATTTTTCCACTTTCATGGGGTCTAGCCCTCATAAAAGTGGAGGCCAACTGTAATATGTAATGGTGCATACAAAGGAATATTGTAGCATCTGATATCAAATGGGAGAAAGAAGTTTGTAGCATGAGCCTTGTAGACTCATATTACTTCATTAAATGTATGCTGATGCAGACTAACACAGTTACGTTTTGAATACTAATATAATAGTGCAGAGATTATTCCATTATAATACAAATCATAATGTACTATAATTTTCCTGCACGGAGCCATTAGCTGGCAAACAAGACATAGTGAAATTAATGACTAGGCAGTGTTAGGTGAGATTTATAAATTAATTTAAGCATGAATACCAACATATCATTAGTTAGAATTTGGCTCCACCAACAGATACTGTGATTAGTGAAACCCACGCTTACCAGTGAGTAAACACATTAGAGCAGGTTTGCAAGATCTATTTTGTTTCTTAAAGATCTGCATGTGAGTGTACTCGGTTTGCCAAAGACAATCGTGTAGCATTCAAGAGTTTTTCAACCACTGTCATTTTAGGTATCAGAACTGAACTGATTTCACAATCCTTCAGCACAAAATCCACTCTTTCTCTTGTTCCTATTCCCACTTGCTGCAACTCAACTGTATACTGTTGGACCAAGTGGTGTCTTTGTGTTGCCACAGCTAAATAACAGGAAATTAGAAATCAGCTTCAAAAACAAGCAAAAGGTAAAGGTGAAGGCTTCCCCTGACATTAAGTCTAGTCATGTCCAATTCTGGGTGGTGGTGTTCATCTCCATTTCTAAGCCGAAGAGCTGGCGTTGTCCATAGACACCTTCAAGGTCATGTGGCCAGCAAGACTGCATGGAGTGCCATTACCTTCCCACAGAAGCGGTACCTATTGATCTAATCACATTTGCATCTTTCAAACTGCTAGGTTGGCAGAAGCTGGAGCTAACAGTGGGAGCTCGCCCCACTCCCCAGATTCAAACCACCAACCTTTAGGTCAGCAAGTTCAACAGCTCAGCGGTTTAACCCTCTGTGCCACTGGGGGCTCTAAGTAAAGATCTATCAGTAAATTCTAATCTAATCTTTCCTTCTCTCACCTCTATATTTAAAACATCATACTACTGTATGTGTGACAATACATTAACAGGCATTCCTTGGACAAAAGTTTCTTTTCCCTAAAGGCTTTTTATTTCTGCCTAGATTTTCTTTTTCCTCTTTTTGTGTCTAACTGGAAGGTTTAAAGCAGCAGAACAAGGGCTGGAGAAGCACAGATGTAAAGCGTTAGATAGCAATGGCATATCTTCAATAAGCAATATAATGAAGATTAAAGTGAGAAAGAGTAGTAGAATCATAGTAGTGGAAAGGGCCTGTGGTCCATCTGGGCCACCTCCCTGCTCAGTATGCAATCTTCAGCTAAAGCATCCCCAGCAGGTAGTTGTCTACTATCTTTTTGAAGACATCAAAATAAGTTAATTGATTCCATTGCCAAACTGCTCGTTTTGTCAAAAAAAATTCCTTCTAGTATTCAGTCAAAATCCACTCCTGTAACTTCAAACCAATAAACTTGTTCCTAACTTCTGGGGAAGCAAAAACACGCCTGTACCATCCCCTTTGTGCCAGCCTTTGAGTTATTTAATCCTGTAACCCGTTAGTCATCTCTTCACCAAGATGAACATGCCTGGCTACTTCTACTTCTTCTAATATGTTTAATTCTCCATACCTTTTATCACCTTGCTGCCTTTCTCTGGACCTGCTCCAAAATGCCTATATCTTTCTTTAAAATTAAGTGCAAGAACAAGATTTTACCCTAGCCTATCCTACTATAGCTGTGTATGCCCATCTACAACAAGGAAAGTAAATAGAGGCTCCCTCTAGAATCCTTTCGTGTATGCAGCAAACGCAAATGGAGGGGGGTGGATTGAGAGCTAAGCCTGCTTTATGGGCTCCTGATAGGGCTAAATACTCTAAAGCCACTAGATTCTGCCAGATCTCAAAAGCTAAATAGGGTCAGCCCTGGTTAGTACTTGGGTAAGAAACCATCAATGTATACTAGTTGCTGTTGGTTATAATTGAGAGGAAGAAAGTGGGGAAATCACCTCTGAGTATTCTTTGCCTAAGAAAACTCAATGAAATTCATGGGGTCACAATATGTTTACAAGCAACTTGAATTGCAGTGGTGCAATGGGTTAAAGTCTTGTGCTGTTGAACTGCTGACCTGAAGGTTGGCAGTTCGAATCCACAAGATAGGATGAGCTCTAGCTATTAGCCCTACCTCCTGCCAACCTAGCAGTTTAAAAAAAATGCAAATATGAGTAGATCAATAGGTACTGTTTTGGCAGGAAAAGGCAAAAAACAAGCTCTAAGCAGGCACGACGGCTACACAACCAGGAGGGTATCTACGGACACAGGCTCCACAGCTTGGAAATGGAGAAAGAAGAATTCCCCCAGAGCCAGAGTTCAGCATGCATTTGCAGAAACGTATTGAATTGTTTTTCTGTTTTGTGGTGTTGGGACCTATCCCTATTATTTCCATGATCTTTCTGCCTCCAACACCATTTCTGCTATAGAAGTAATAGCAGGAGTACACCTGCTTGTTTAACTGACCTCTTCTTTTATCTAGGCACAGATATGCGAGCTATGACTTTTTTCATTTTCCCAAAATAAAAGCACCCCATTTAAAGAATTTACTTGCTAGAATTCAAGACAAATATGCTCATGATCTACAGTAATAATAGATTTCAAAACCAATTTAAAATCCAGGCAGCTGCTTCGCACTCCTGTTGTTCTACCCGAGATACATTCACATATTGTGATGTGTAATTAAAGGGATGCAAAATAGGATATGGATATTGTTAGCTATTTTATTAATTAATTCTGCTTACAAGGAAAGAATATGACTAAAGGAATGGAGGTACGATTACTGAAGAGAAAACTACAGACCAAAGTAGGCATAAAATCACACTGGAGGAGCATCTCATCCTACAGAAATAACTTTAGCCACATTTTCGTTGTCAAAACATAAACCAAGAAATCTGCAGAAAATAAAAACTCATATTTATCAGTAACAGGCTGATATCTTTCAATAAGGGTGCATCTACACTGTATAAATAATGCTGTTTGCCACCACTTTAACTGCCATGGCTGCATGCTACGAAATAATGGGAGTCGTAGTTTACAAGGTTTTTTGCCTTCTCTGCTGAAGAGTGCTACTGCCTCACCAAACTGCAACTCCCAAGACTCCATAGTCTTGAGCCATGGCAATTAAAGAGTTGTTAATCCATATTATTTCTACAATGTAGATACACCCATAGCTATTCAGCATGAACATCCTACATTCACCTTATGTTGGATATGGCAACCATATCTACTACTATATTTGTAGTGGGGGCACCTTGCCAACCCCCAATGGACATCAGGACCATTTTAGTGATTTCCTCAATCAACTGGAAGAAAAGTGAGGATAGTGCGCCTGCAGGTGTTTGCAGTCCTAATTATAGCCAAAGTCAACAGCACAAGTAAACACAGTAGAACAGGAGTAAAACTTTTAGAAAAGACCAGTAAATACCAGGTCAACATGTAATTGTCTTATCAAATTAAAGGAAAATCTCATTCATCATTCATAACCAGAAGGAATTTATGCAATATTTTTAAATAATGTTGTGCACAATGCAAATTCTGAGCATATTGAAGCATTAGAAAGCAAGGGTGTGGCTATCTCAGCAACCCATATGGACAATTTTGGAGGATTTTGGAATTCCAGATAAAGTGTGCTAAACCTGTATTATGAAAATATGTTAATAGATAGTTTAGTATTTTAACATCACAAAGAAAAATACATACTTGAATAACATGGATTTACGGTATTGTATAAAATTTGAGTACACATCTGAGAGAATTTGAACCATATTACCAAGCAAAAATAGTGAACACTTACTTTTTCATCATCATCAGTGAAAGGAGCACCTCCAGGAGTTTTATTGATTGCTTGTGCAACTCCAATAATCTCACCATCACTGTTTCTTATGGGCATACAAAGCAAGGACTTGGTCTTGTATCCTGTTAACTTGTCAATCTCATCATTGAAGCGACGATCCTGCCCAAAAAGATAAAGTAAGTAACAGTAAGATTAGAATATATATGCCTGCACTCCGCAGTAACCAGCACATTGCAATTTTAATGAGACATTTTTCAGTTCAAATCCACAGACACAGTATTATTTCCACACGCCTGGTTATCATGAAGTATTAACTATGAGCATCTATTTGCCTATTTTACATATTTATACTTTGCCTTGTATATTGTCACAGTCATATTTTGAATTTTGGCACATTATGTATATCATATTTAGATAATTTTTGTATTCGTTTCCAGATGCTTCTGCTTTTCCTTTTGCTTTTAAGGATCCATTCCCATCTTTTCTGGAGTGAGATTAATAGATCAATACTCTCCATTAACTGAATGAAAATAGGACTTTTTAATATGAAGTGTGAGACTTTGCACACATCATAAATGTATCATTCACTTCTGGAGCATCAACATCTTATTGCTCTCTTCACTTTATCTCAATCTACAATATTCATATATGTTGCCTGCTGTTTTCCTTCCAGCCGATGCTACACTTGAAATCTAAGACATTCAATATTTCTCCTTTGGCTTAATCCATTTATTTCTCTACAGTAGTTTCTAACTGGATTCCACAACCCTAGAATAAACTTTTGCAGAGATTTAACTTCCATTATAAAAGAGCCATATTACTCAATCAAACATTATTTTCTTATCAGGGTTATAAAGGGTTCCCCATAGGACTATTGGTTAAAATTGTATCCCCTAACTAGTCTATTTTTCCAACATGCTTTTTGTAATAGTATTACTGTTATATCATGACTGCCAGCATTCTCTTGTCTTGGAGTTTTATAAGGTCACTTTTTTGAAAGTAAATACTTTCTGAATGAAACAAATATGAAGCATCTTTACTTTTTAAAAAACCATGTCTCAGAATGAAGACCCCTCAACATGTTATTATACAGATTCAGTTACTCACAAGCACAGATTAATTTTATTTCACTATATTAGTGATTTTTCAGAATAATATGGTTACATAGATTTTTTTTCTATGAATTCCCACCTTTATGCCAGTTATAAAGAGATTTTTCCCCCAAGGAGTGGAAAGTTCACAAAAGATTATGGTATGGTGATATTAAAATTCAAATATTAAAACAGGACAATGTCACAATTAAATCCTGGGGAGAACTTGCCACATTGGGAGAATAATATGTGCATCTCTGCAAGTTGCTAGTCGCTTCTGGTTGTTGAGAGAATCAGCCATCTACAAAAATATTGCCCAGGGGACGCCTGGATGTGTTACAATCCTGCGCAGATCGTAACACATTGAGCCTGAGCACTGTCACATGCATGATGGAGGAACTTCTTATAGCAACACAGGAGGCATTCCAAGTGGCAAGCTTCTTAGGTATGTCCATGGCAAAAGGAAGAACAAGAAAAGAGTGTGTAGAGAAGATGGCAATACACTAACAGGGGGCAGAGAAAAGACAGAATGACTTAACACTTTTGCATCAGTCTTCTCAAGAAAGGGAAACTGTACCTGACCTAGGTAATATTGTTATCAAAGAACTGGCCCTCCTCCTCTAATAAAAATAACTATAACTATTTACATATAATAGCTGTGTCAGCCTAGCCCCAAATACTCCTGGGAGGATTAATCTAATCATTTACCAAGCTTAAAACTGGTTTGGCAGGAAACTCCCCTTAGACCAAGAAGCAATACCCATCCAAAGAACACAATGGTCCCATGTCCCTTACAGAGGCTTGCTTTGAAAAAGTACTTTGGAGCGGCTATGTCTAGATTCAGGTTTATGTTTTATTAACAAACAAAGGGGACAGAAGACTCACATATGCATACACAAAAACTGGGGTGCAACCATAGACATATTTCCAGGCACCCAAAGAAATTTGAACTATATATTATATGTGGTTGTAAAACTGGGGGGGGAGGGGGGTTAACATCCAGGAAGCCTACCTGATATCTAGCTGAGAGGGAATCCTCTACAGCAGGGGTAGGGAACCTTTGGCCCTCCAGCTGTGGTGGACTTCAACTCCCACAATTCCTTGAGGCTCGGCATTCGCCCCAAAGGCTTACCTTGGCCCAATGCCAAGCCTCAAGGAATTGTGGGAGTTGAAGTCCACCACAGCTGGAGGGCCAAAGGTTCCCTACCCCTGCTCTACAGGAAGCAAGGCCTCTTTAGAGATGAAATCAAGGTCAGGTTCTGGGAAGCCAGGTGTTTCAGAAATATCAGATAGGAGATGTGCCTCAATGAAATCTATGTCTCCTATTCAGTTGTTTATAGTTGCATAAGATTTGTCTTCTGTCTTTAGGTCTTTCATCTACTGCAAACCCCATAATCTCATCCTGGACTATTTCAGATAAGTGGGGTGCTACATGGTTCTGCTCTTGATCCAGTGCTATTCAACATCATTATAAATGATTTGGATAATGGAATAGAGATCAAACTTATCAAATTTACAAATGACACCAAATTAGTACAGTGTTCCCTCACTACTTTGTCATTCACTTTTGGCAGACTCGCTATTTTGCAGGTTTTTGCCTCCCAGTTTATGGATGGTTGCAGTTGCCCAGAGCGGCGTTCTAATCCTGCCTCCTGGCAACGATGGAGTGTGGAAGGGGGTTTCACCCTCCCCTCGGGAGAGCGGCAGCCAACCAAGAGAGATTGCAAAGCAAAACAGAGATAGCTAGCAAAAAAAATAAGGTGCGCGGTGCCTTTAAATCTCTCCTCACTTCTGCCTCACTCTCAAACTTGATATACATATATAGCGTCCGTCCGTACTTTGTGGATTTTCACTTTTCGCAGGTGGTCCTGGAACGTAACACCCACGATAAGTGAAGGAACACTGTAGTAGTTAGTAAAGGACATGCTCAGAATTCATAACGACTCTAACCCTTCTGGATCATGGAATTTTAATGTTTATACTAGGATGATTTTGTACTTTGTCTGAATGTTTACATTTGATGTATGTCTTATGTTTAATGGTTTTAATTGATTTTAAGTTCATTGTTATATGCAATAATAAGTTATTGTGATTTATTTGTGTACTGTATGTTGGCATTTAATTTTTGACATTAGTATGTTGTAAACTGCCTTGAGTCCCCCCAGGCAGTATATAAATACAGTAAATAAATAAATAAATGATTAACACATTCCAAAGCTGTGCCAAAACTAACAAAATTAATTTCAATGAAGAGAAATGTGACTTACTGTACTTAAACAAAAAAAAATAATGCACAAATATACAATGGATGACATCTGGTATGAAAGCAGTAGACATGATAGGGAATTAAGGATCTTAGCAGACTACAAGCTGAACATGGGTGAACAGTGTTGTGAAGGCTAAGAAAAGTCAATAAAATTCTAGGCTGTATCAACAGGAGTATAGTGTCTAAATCAAGATAAGCCATAGTCCTGCTCTATTCTGCTTTGGTCAGACCTCACCTGAAATAAGATTGTGTCCAGTTCTGGGCACCACAATTCAAGAAGGATATTGACAACCTGGCATGTGTCCAGAAGAGGAAGAATAAAATGGTGAAAGCCAAGCCCTGGAGGTCTGGGTATGTTTAACTTAGAGAAAAGAAGGCTGAGAGGAAACACAATAGGCATGCTTAAATATTGGAAAATATGGCATATTGAAGAAGATGGTTAGACGTTGTGGTCATTGTGGTCTCTTCCAGTTTTGTGTGTTTGTGAATATTGGTTGGGCTGGGTTGTTTCTCTTCCTTCTTTGCCTTCCTCTTTTGCACACATAATTATATTACACATTCTTATATACCGAGTTTTAGTTTTGCCTCAGGAGAGTACTTATTATTATTTGTTTGTACAGCAAATGCTACATTGTGAGCAAGGCTCTCTTTCACTTGCTTAATGTTCGGATTTAAAAACAATAACAAAAGCCTAAGATAAATGGGTTTTAATAATGCTACCCAGAGCTTGGCTCTGGATGATGCTGAGGGGTTCCAGCGTGATGTTGAATACTTTCAGACCAATCTCTGCCAGGCTGCACAGCCTCCCAACACACAAGATGCCGATTCAGCCTAAGGCAAATCAGGCTTACAAAATTGCTCCTGTTCTGCCTTCATAACACAAGTAATGAAGTAGATTGCAATGCAATTAGCCCAGATTAGGTGTCATAATAGTGTAATATAAAATACCACAACTATGAAATCAAATACTATTTTATCAGTTGCTGCTTTATTTATTTATTATATTTGAATTATGGACAAGAAGATCTATTTTATCAATGGTACTAAACACTGGACTGAATTGTGCCCAGTGTTAGAAAAAAATTAAAAACATGCACGAAGTAACTGCAAAAAAGACAGATAAGAATATCTAGATTACAATGATAACCTTTTTTTAAAAAAAAATGATTCACTTCTATGGGAATTATGAAAGCAACTATATTCTAAGAACGATCAGAATACAAAGAGTTCTTAGTTCAAGGTATCCCTAAAGTTACACGTTCTCCACAAAACTTATTTTTCTTTTCAACTTCTAAAATTGAGATTTTTCTGGCCAAAAGTGTGAACTGTCTCCCACAGAAGCCTCCAGGTGTGATTATTTTCCTTTTTAATAGGTTGCAAGACCTCACACACATACATGTAGCCCCAACACGTTTCCCACTGGCTGGAAATAATATAACTGATAATCTTGACACTTCTGCAATTCCACAAATTGGGGAAAGCAAGTTCAGTGACTTGAAACTCCCCATGGGCAAACTTTCTTAGTAGAATATCAACTTCCATCAATTTAGAATAGGAAGAGTCAGGTCTGAATATGAAGCCCGTTGTTTAAGGTGTTAAACAACAGATTTCCACTAGCTGCCAGTTTGCTTCCAGACACAATTTAAGATGCTGGCTGGCTATTACCTATAAATCACTATACAGTTTAGGTCAAGATTATCCAAAACATAGTATCTATCGAGATTTTTTTAAGCAAACCATGGCATACATCCTCTACATCAACTAAATTTCTAAAGGACCAAATATTTATTGCACTTCATTGG